TGCTAAAAAGTCTCTCCCCATCTTTCTTATAAGCCCCCTTTAAGTGCTGATAGACCGCAATAAGGTCTCCTTGAAGCCTTCTTTTCTCCAGGCGGAATAATTCCAGCTCTCTCAGCCTTTCTTCATAGGAGAGGCGTTCCATCTCCTGATCATCTTCGTGACCTCCTCTGGACCTGCTCCAACAGGTCCACGTCCTTCTTGTGCTGAGGACGCCCGAGCTGGACGCAGCTCTGCAGGGGGGTCTCCCCAGAGCAGAGCAGAGGGGCAGAATCCCCTCCCTCGACCTGCTGGCCACGCTGCTGGTGATACAGCCCAGGATACGGTTGGCCTGCTGGGCTGCCAGCGCACATTGCCGGCTTGCGTCCAGCTTTTCCTCCACCAGCACCCCCAAGTCCTTCTTGGCAGAGCTGCTCTCCATCCCTTCATCCCGCAGCCTGTGTTGATGCTGGGGCTTTCCCCGACTCAGGTGCAGGTCCGTGGAGGTTTTGCTGCTGCTGTGAAAGAAAGGTAGTTTTCCATTAGGTAGTATGTTAGGTAGTATGTTACTAACCCCTGTATTGGACTTAGCATTAGATGGCTGCGTGGCTCCTCTGTTCTACCTTGGCTTCCAGCAGTTGACACCTGGGGCCACCGTCACTCCCTGTGTGGCTCCCGGTCTGTTGAGTAACTCAGCACCCCGTCATTACACCCTTGTCATAGCTTGCTGGGGGGTCTGCATCCACCACCCTTCCACCCCTTAGGATTTCAGTGCTAGGTAGCTTGCAAACGGAGATCAGGCCTGCTTAGGGGTGATTCATTTTGGCAAATGCTGTATCAGCTGAAGGGAATCCATATTGTTTGTGTTGCATTGCGGAGGAGCTTGGCTCTGTGTGCTCTGCTCAAAGAGCAGCCCATGGTCCAGGTGAGGGTTCCTGGGGGTGCAGCCACAGCCTTCATACATGGCCCGCAGAGGGTCCCTGTCTTTGCCAGGCTGATGTTGGGATGGGTACGGGCTCATGCTGCAACCCTGGGACTGGCGTGGGTGCCTGGGTGCTGGGAGCTGCCAGGCCGTGAGAGTCCTGTGGAGCTGGGGACGGGTGTTTTTCTGCTTGGTATTGAACACAGTCCGATGCAGACAGTCCATGTAAAGAGGCCAGGGGCTGCTGTCAGGCTCACCAGGCTGAACTTGGAGCGATGCTGGGGAATTGGGGTGGAGGGGCCTCTGGCGTTATGCCAGCACAACCACAGTCAGAATTCAGCCCATAATTGCTTTGTCCTGAGCTGTCAAAAAAAGTGCAGTGCTTATAGTGTAACATATACTGGTTTAAATAAGATTTAGTCTTTCATTATTCAGCACTCTGCCTCTACTTGATACTGATTCAAACTCAGTCATTTCCTTTTACCAATACTCTAATTGTTTTCTCCTTTTGATCTGCAGGACTGCATGCAATTAAACCAGTATAAGCTGCAGAGTGAAATAGGCAAGGTACGTTACTGGAGCTCGTGTTTGTCACAAGCAACCTGCATGCACACACACGAGTGTGGGTGGAAAGACTGTGCCAGCCCAAGGGATCTTCCTGGCCGAGACTCCTTGCAACTTGTGTTTGTTTTGGGGTTTTTTGTTTATATTTTGCCTTATTAGTCTGAGCAAGTTTTGTTCAAGGTCAAAGTAGAGCTACTTCCTCTGAAATCTAAATTTATTTTCCTTCCCTCTGAGGGTGGTTAAGCTGGCTCCCTTCCAAGGTGTTTGCATGCCAAATGTAACACTGAGAGCCTCTGATGCATTAATACAACCCAACAAGGAAAGAAAACCAAAAAAAGATCAGGGCAGGTGTTTGGTCCCCGTCAGGACTAGTTTAAGTTTTTATGTCCATGAATGAAATGCTAGTTTAATTCTAATCCATGTTTAAAAGCTGAAGGATGATTCAGAAGAGATTCCTCCAAAGTTATTTAGAGGTCTGGGCTGGTGAGCAGTTCAGACACCTGCACATTTGGACGTCTGCCACCATTGCAGATCGATCCACGAGCGACGGTGCTGTCTGGAAGCTGTACCTACCTTTGCAGTTGGAACACTGCAGACAGAAGGGACTGCACCCTGAGCTGCAGAGACCTTCACCAGAAGTTTCATTAGCCCAAACTCCTCTCCAAAGCGAGAGGCCGTGGGAGGAGGCACCCTTCCCATGTGCGCAGTGGGCTGTGTGCTTGGCTGCCGGCACTCAGGGGGTGAGGCTGGAGATACCACTGCTGGTGGTACAGCAGATGTCATCTGGAACTCACACACAGCTTCAGACCCAGTTATGGCTTTTGTCATTGGCTTAAGTATGATTTAAGGAGAGTGTGAGACCTTCTCCCTGGTGGATTTGCCCCTGCCTCCTCCTTCCCTGCAGGTCACAGTGAGCAGATAGGCACCCTGAGGTTGGTAGATGGTCTGCTGGACCTGCTGTGCTTCTGGATCAGCCAGATGGCTTGTCGGTCTCCTCTGAGAACCAGGACCTTCATTCCAGCTCTCAGTGAAGCCAAGAGAAGTGTTTTGAAGGCTGTAGTGTTCATCACACTCATTTATTCAACAGGCATCGTCAGAGATGATACCTAGCCATGGTGTCATGTCTCGCTTGCATAAAATGTATAGTGTTGACACAGAGCTGAAAAAAACCAGTGATTTGGATGCAGTTTGGCTTCAGGCTGTCACCGGAGCTGTGGATACAGCAGTAATCCAGGTCTGCATCTGCCTGGACAACATGCGGTTGGTGAAAAGCAGGCAGCTGGTCCTCACTGAAGTCCATTTGCTATCAGGAGATGGAGAGGTTTCGTGCTGAAAATGGTCTTGCGCAGAAGTACAGGAAAGGTGTTCGTGCAGAATTTCCAAACTTGCACAAAAATAATCTGCTTGAAAATTATTCTCTCTGCTCCCCACCCACATTTGAGTTAAGACAGACACAGTGGCTTTGGCTCAGGGCAGGAGGTGATGGACTAACACCCAACTCCTCCAGACATGGTTAATCCTCAAATGCCCTGTGGCTCCAACAGAGCTGCCAAAACCTATGACCTCTCTGCGGAGTCACATCACCTGCAGACTTTGCTCAGGGGTACGCGTGGCCTGGGGCCTTGAAGGTTTTTTTTCCCCTGTATAAGGCCACAGTGTACCAGCCTTGAGCAGCAAGGAGACGAGGTGAAGCTGCTGAACTGACTGTGCAATTTGTGTTTATTTTTAGGGTTCCTACGGTGTTGTGAAACTGGCCTACAACGAGAACGATGACAAGTATTACGTAAGTGTCTCTCTCCTCCGCTTCTCGCTGCCGCCGCTGCTCCTCCTTCCCCTTTGCCACCCTGAGAGCTAGGTCCCCTCTGCCTTGCTACTTTTAGCATATGCGTTTCTGATTCGGGTAGCGTGCAAAGAATTGAACCTCCCTGCTGGGCACGGAGCCGCTGCCTGCGCGCCTGCTTGCGTGTGGTGCCGAACGGGAGGGAGATCAGGTGGGCTGCCTTATATAACAGGCGGGGATCTCGGAGGCAGGCTGCAGAAGAGTATCGCTGATTTGTCTTGACATTTTCTAGCTATGAAACAGGTCACCTGAAATTAGAGACATGTGGGTGGTGGTATTCAGCACCTGCTGTGCATTGGAAGATTGGCCTGGAACGAGCAGGTGTGTTTTGTAAGGAAATGGGGGTGTTTATCAGAAAGATGCTGAACAGCGTGGCCCAGCTGGGCAGTGCCTGACTCCCTGCATCTTACCCCCTTGCGGGATGCCTCCCTGTACACCAAATGGGACCTCGCTGTCAGGTCATGAGGTGTAGGGTGCAGGGCAGAAGGCAAACCTTGGCTTTTAAATCCTTTGAGCTGAAGCCAGAGTTGGAGGGTTTCAGATTCAAAAAGGCTGCTTGTGCTGAAGGCTCCTTCTCTGTCCCTCCCCTTTCAGAGGCAGGTGACTCCTAACCATCCCAGCTGGGATTCCTGCAAAATCTGTCTGCAGATGTGCTCATGTCCCTGGGCTTGCCCTGTGGCATGTTTTGTTCAGGCTGAGAGCAGGAGCTGGACAGCTGGCAAAAGGAAAACTGCCTTGCTGTGTGTGGCTGTGCCTGAAGGCTTGTGGAAACAGCTTTCAGCAGTTTCTGGTGGATCCCAGGGCAGGTATCTGCTGAGCAGAGCTGGGTGGTTGCAGTGCTATCAAACCTGAACCCTGCTGCCCTCGACGCAGCCCTGCCGGTCTGGCCCTGTGCTTCAGCTGCTGCTCCATGCTGTGTTTGCTGAGAGGGGTCCTGCTTTCACTGCCGCGATGGAGTGGCCTCACATGGGTGAAAATGGGTCCATTTTCACCTGGGTGGACTCGTGTGCTGCTCCCTGTCCCAGCGCACAGAGCTGTTGGTCTTGGTACAAAGAGGAATAAGAATATGCTGTGGAGATGTAAAACATGCTCGTTCCCCCTACTCCCCAGCTAGCTTTTCGTCCCTGGCTCTTGGATTTACAAGCGACATACCAGTTAGAGGGTTCGGGTGGGAATTATATGCCTGTTAGTATTCGTTAGCCCTTCTGCGCTTCCAGCAGGCATGACATTGCAGGAGAAATGCCTTGAAATGAAGGATGGAAGAGATGAGACAAAAATCTGGACAAGATGCCCTGGAGCTGGCCAAGCAAAGGAACCACAATTCTTTCCATCTCCTGTCCTTTCCAAGTTGACTCACCCACCGCACCGGAGCGGTTGCTGTTTCCGATGGCTCCCTTTCTCCGCTGCCCTCCGAGTCCTCCCTCCCGTGCCCTGCAGCAGGACGGTTTTGTTCTGCAGAGAGCGATGGTGCCAGCTGTGGCTTCCCTGATCCATCTGTCCCACCAGCGTAGGCAGTGCCAGG